TGCTTTTCTGAAGTATTTTGTCTTGTAAAATTGATAAGGTGTGCATAATGATCAAAAAGACTTGTAGGATTAATAAAGTTCATAACAATCATGCTTTAATATTTTTTTGATGTGGTTGATCTGACTAAAATACAAACCTTGACCTTTTTTTCAAAAAGCTTTGGAATAGGATCTTGGAGGTACTTGAGCTAACTCATTCTGTTGCTTGATGTGGGTATTAAATGCTAGTTCCTTCTCAAAATGACAATGTTGCTTGATGTGGCTTGATATCAACTTGAAGTATATCGATGGCATCAAAGTCTCTAAGGTTCTATTATCAATTCTTACCTGTCGTTACTCCGAATCAAACAGCTTTGATAAACTTTTTGACTGAAGAAGTCGAAATTGTTCTTTTGATACATTCTCTAATTAGTGACCTTCTACTTCTTGTACCTGGTTTTTAGAGGCTTAGCATTGAGCTTAAAAAGACAATTTTTTTACAATGTTTACAAAGTATGGCTTGTAGAGCTCGTCTTTTTAAACTTTCCACACACTCACAATAAAGCTTGTTAATCAAGTGAGTTTGTTAGCCAAACAAAGGTGGAGCTGGTTAGCCAAACAAAGGTGAAGCTGGTTGGTCAAGACAAAGGTGGAGCTGGTTAGTCAAGAGAAGGCGGAGTTTGTTGAAAAATATTTTATTTAAATAAATTTATTTCAATAATAATAACAATGATAAAAGATAATCATTTAATTACGAATTTTTTACTATATTATCTAGTAATTTTTTGCATTATCATCTAGTAATTTTTTACATTATCATCTAGTAATTTTTTACATTATCATCTAGTAATTTTTAATGACAAAAGAGAAATTAGTAAAAATGTATAATACGTAGTAATAAATTATTCTTTTTATTTACACTTTTATTACTTCTATTCGGAGATTATTCAAATTACTTTTTGCTTTACTTTATATTTTCCTATTTACCGTTTTTACTTAAATACAATCTTATTACAATACCTACATATACTTGACCTATTATAAATGTAATTAAAAAAAAAAATTATTCGATATCTATATGTATCTATATCTATCTATAAATCTATCTATCTATACATGCATATACATACATACATTGATACATTGATACATACATACATACATACATACATACATACATACATACATACATACATACATACATACATACATACATACATACATACATACATACATACATACATACATACATACATACATACATACATACATACATACATACATACATACATACATTATTCATACATACATACATACATACATACATATTTATACATACATACATACATACATACATACATACATACATACATACATACATACATACATACATACATTATTCATACATACATACATACATACATACATATTTATACATACATACATACATACATACATACATACATACATACATACATACATACATACATACATACATACATACATACATACATACATACATACATACATACATACATACATACATACATACATACATACATACATACATACATACATTATTTATACATACATACATACATACATACATACATACATACATACATACATACATACATACATACATACATACATACATACATACATACATATTTATACATACATACATACATTCATACATACATACATACATACATACATACATACATACATACATACATACATACATACATACATACATACATACATACATACATACATACATACATACATACATACATACATACATACATACATACATACATACATACATACATACATACATACATACATACATACATACATACATACATACATACATACATACATACATACATACATACATACATACATACATATTTATACATTGTTCAATAACATTACCATTATTATTGTTCTTTAAGATCAATTGAAACAAAGGCAAACAACATCATTAATGAAGAAAAAAGTTTGCGCAAATATACATTCATACATAAATACATACATTTTATAGTTTAAATTTACAAGGTCACTGCATCTGTTTGCGTGTAGTGCGTACATATGCAAGTAAATACGTTTGCAAACAAATACGTGTGTCTGCAAACAATTTCAGAACGCGTGCATAAACAAATAAGCATTTTAATATTGCAAAAATCTTTAAGAGTGTTATATTTTACTTTTGGTTTAACAAAACCAAAATTTAAATATAAAGTATATAATATATAAGTCTATTAAAGGTATATCTTGTTATGAACAAATGAATAAACCTTTTCTAAAGAGCATACGAGCCTTTCAGATGACGAACTTAATACCGGAAAAATCACGTTTCTCAGCAAGATTAACATCCGTTGCGACGGATTTGCATCTTGTAATTTAAACAAAAAATTAATTCAAATATTATTAACACAGCATTTTGATGGCGGATGATTGTGGCACTTACGTTAGAGCAACGCGTGAAACTCTAAGTAGCAAATTATACTTTAAACACACTCAGATACATACATACATATATATATATATATATATATATATATATATATATATATATATATATATATATATATATATATATATATATATATATATATATATATATATATATATATATATATATATATATATATATATATATGTATGTATGTGTATATGCGACGCCACGTTATTATTACACTATAATCCTATGGAACCATTTTATTGTTGAGTCATAATATCGTAAGATTATATTATTGTATATAGTATATTATCGTAAGACTATTTTATTGCAAAAAGCATATTACCGTGAAATAATTTTAATTTCATATTATTTATTTAAGATGTAGAAATCAGTATAATACAAATACACTTAAAGAGGAAATAACACACTGAAATAAGAAATAATAACCTGAATAAAGAACTAATGCACTATAATGGGAAATTAAACAATGAAAAAAGAAACACAATAATATTGAAAATGGATATCTTATAGCGAGATCAATGGAGATAAAATAGGATCAGTGGATATAAAAAAGCTGTTTGAAAAATAAAGTCGTGTTAAACTGATCAATATTAAAAATTTGGATTGAAAACAGCAAAAATAAATTATTAAAAAAAGTTTATTTTCTTTAGTTTCACTCATAAATTTTTTTTAGTTGTCACTGATTCTTTCACATTTCTTTTAAAAGAAGAAAACTACTTAAGTTAATTTTATTTTACACGAAGCGAATCGCGAGTTAATTAATTTTACAAGAAACGAATCGCGAGTTAATTTGTTTTAAATCTAACGAATCACAACTTAATTTTTTAAATTTAACAAATCGCATGTTTTTTAATGTGCATATGTGAATCACATGTTATTATTTTTTAGATAATGTGAGCTATTTAGTGTTAAATGGTTTTCGAAAGATTAAAAAAATAACATAACATAAATAAATTTAAAAAAAAATCACTATCATGAATACAATCATAAAAATGAGAGAGAGGTGGGGGGTGTAACTGGTTTTGATTTTTTTAAATCAAATCTTTTCATTATTACAACCGTTTAAACATTTTCGATTTGCTAACATTAAATACGTCATAATTCTTTTTATATATAACACAAGCTTAAAAGTAAAATTTCTTCAAGTTTGTAAAAAAATAACAAAACAAAACATCATTAAAAAGTTGAAAAAGACTGGCTGTATTGACCAGCAGACTAAAACTTTTTTTACGGTCGTTATAAACTATGTTTGAACAAAAAAATAAAAAAAATTATTTTAAATAAAACCTATTTTTATAATTTCAGTACTTTAAATAATATTTTACGTTGTGTTATAGCAATTAAGTAAAAATTAAATAATAATTTAAAAAATATTTCTTTTGTTTCATCAATAGGAGATACATTGTTGTCTTTTATTAAGAGGTTGTGATGTCATACAAATGGTGTTATTGTGATGTCATAAATGCGTCACAAAGTTGGTGTCTTAAAACTTTTTTCATTATAAGAGCATTACGGATATAGCTTGTGTGTGTATACAAATATATATATATATATATATATATATATATATATATATATATATATATATATATATATATATATATATATATATATATATATAATAAAAGACAAATAAGACTCATATTACTTTACCGTATATTTAAAGTTTAATTTTCCATTGTAGTATTTACATTAGTCTGATGTTTACTGGCGTTGTAATTGACTGACCTTAAACATAATCCGAATATAATTTCTCATTGTTATTAATTATATAAGGCAATTTTTTTATATGGTAATGTTATTCTTATGACGAGCATTGAAAAAGTTTTCATTGAAGTAAGTAGTAAATAAATAGTGTTTACGCATTTCTCATAAAGAGTTTTTTGAATTTTTATTTAAAAATCAATTTGTGTTCGTTTTCATTATTTATTTTATTTTATTTTATCATTTTTTAATACATAGTTCAATATTATATATATATATATATATATATATATATATATATATATATATATATATATATATATATATATATATATATATATATATATATACACACACATATATATATATATACACACACACACACATATATATATATATATATGTATATATACATATATATATATATATATATATATATATATATATATATATATATATATATATATATATATATATATATATATATATATATATATATATATATATATATATATATATATATATATATATATATATATATATATATATATATATATGTTTAAATATAAGTTGTACTTTTTAAATATATTTGGTACTTTTTAAACATACTTGAACTTTATTTTAAACTAAATTAAAAACTTTCTATGATACCATTTGTTTTTGATAAATGTATTTGCTAAACTTTATTTCAACGGCTTTCCTTAAAATAAAATATAATTTATCACCAAAGAAAAAAATATTTCATGTAAACATCTAATGAAATTTTTTACAACTGATTTGTTTAACTCATTCATGTTGCATTAAAAATAATAATAACTTTCTTTCAGACATTATTATTTATTTAGATTTATTGCCTAGATAAATATTTAGTTTCTGTGATTGGAAATTCATTTGGAACGTTGAGGCATGTTCAAATGATTTCGTGAATAAAGAAAACGATTTTAAAACTATCGCTATTGCAAACTTTTTATGACTTGTATTATTATAATAAAAGCTCTATGGTTTCACTATTATTAAAATGCTACGGAAAGGAATTTTTACTTATACAAATGATAGGTGCTACATTTTTAAATGTTAACTCGTTTTTTATTTTATATAAGACAATTTATTAAATTTAATAGAAGTTATAAAAATTTTTTAGAAGTCTAACAAAACATAATTATTTTATGGCCAAGTTTTAAAAAACTTATCCAACCCTAAATTTTGTTTTTGGCATTTTTACAAACATTTGTTTGGCTAAACTCCAAGTTGATATGTATGCGGAATCGATGGCGTGTATTCCACATGGCAAAATGCCAACTCTTAAACAATATTTAACGACATTTCCGTTTTATTGTGTTGCAAAACGAGCTTCCTTTGCTTTAAATTTTATTTGTCATTATCATACTCTTTTCTTTTTAAATTTTATTTTGTTTTGACCGCAATTTGCGTGTTTTTTAGAAAGCATGTTAAAATTTACTGTGTTGCTTTGGGCTTATTATAATGTATATTTATATATAAATATAATGTATATTGTGTAGATTTGGGCTTTTTCATATAACTATATTATGTTTATAATAATTATTTATGTTATTTAGATTGAAACTATTAACATTTTAACCCATTTATAATCGTTAAGGTTTTGTTGTGTATGTGTCACTTCTTTCTATATATATCAAGACCACCCACGTTTCGAATTAATTTTTGTTTTATGTTTCTAACAACAATTTCGTGCGTGTGGCAACAATTCTTCTCAAATTCGTTTATAAATTTTTTTTTTACAAAATAACATAAGCTAATAATTTCAATTTAGAAGAATGTTTGGAATGTAAATTAGTTGTTTAAAACGTCACTTACATATTTCGTATTTTATTTATTTGTATTAAAAATAAAAAGTATAAATTTGTAATTCTACAATTTTTCATTAAAGCTTATTTTATATTTCATTAAGTAGATTACAAATCAAATTTAAAAAAGCCATTCAAGGCCATGCACTATTCTACATCGACATTATTTTTCACTATCCTCCAAGTCGTAAAAAATGTGGAAATCAAAGGTAAGGATTTTTTAACTCTTAATATTTTTGAAAGCGTTTTGAGAAAACAATAACACCCAAAATCTTTATTCAATTAAATACAAACTGTTAATAAACAAAACATTTGAATCCGCAAAGTAATTATTCAAAACGTCTCTGATACACCGTGTCAAATGAAGTGAAAAGAAGGCGGAAGTAATTATTATTATTTCTTACTTCTTAAATAAATGTTTCATTTAAATATTCAGCTTTTATAATATCTTATGATTGTGCTCTTAGAGTTCTTAATCGGACCTGATAAAAAAAAAAGAAAAATGTTAAGGTCTGATTAATGAACAAAGCGAAAATAATGAAATGCCGGAACATTTAGTAAAATTATACAATAGTGACGGGGAAAGAAAGAAGATGAAAAGAGTAGGAGGTCCGTGTCTACCCGTATGTTTTTGCTTCATTTTATAACATTTTTTTATATTATAATTTATATAAAAGGATTTTAATAAAATTTATATTTCCAAATTGAAAGACTAGTTAAAAAGGTTATTTAAGAGACCAGCAAAGAACTTATTGCATTTTTGTTCCTTTTTTTATATATATAATAACAGATGTTTGTTTTCTTTTTTATTCATATTAAATAAAAAAAATTGAATAAATTTTTAAACTTTTATTGTTTTACATTCAATGTCTTTTGATAATATAGTGCGATTAATTGAGTTAAATTTGAATATATTTAAATTTGTGGTCAGTAAATGAATAATTTTTTGTTTTTTTTGTTTTGAATAATTACTTATTTTATAAAAAAATTTAATCATAAATGCAATATAATAAATGCAATAAGTACACTATAGGTGAAACTTTTATCGAAATTGAACCATTCTAATTTTGGTTTTAATGCGGCGACTCCCTCATCATTTGCAAAGAAAAAATAGCTTACTATCAACTAAAAGTCAAATGTTAAATGACATTTTTATCAACTGCTATCTGAATTTGACAAAGAATTTACACGCAATAAAAAACCACTACCTTCATTAATCATTTACAGTAATAATAGTAATAATGATACAGTAATAATAAGAATTATAAGAACAACAACAACAAAGACAATAATAATAGTAAATATTAAAAGTACAGCAATGACTAGAAAAGTGAATAGTATAACATATTTGGTAAAGACTACAGATTGATAAAATTTGTATGACTCATAGAAGATATTGTTCAAAGGAGTATCAACAGTTAATAAATATTATGACTAAGCATATACCATATAGAACATTTACTAAAATGTTAACATGTAAAAATCATAGTTTCCTGGTAATAATAATAAAAAGAAAAGAAAAAAAACTAAACAAAGCAATAAAATTAATAATAATTATAGTAATGAAAACAAGAATATATTTCGAAGGATAATGAAAAGTATATTTCTAATAATAAGAGATTATAATGTCAAGAAATTCGAATAATTTTATTTGAAAATTTTGTTTAATATGAAAAAAAGATAAAAAATGTGTATCTAGTACTAGTTTTTAAAATTCACTTTGATTTCATTATTTTATCTGAAATTATTTAATTTACTAGCACTGAAAAAGATGAAAAAATTTAAGTTTTTTAAATACTCTGATTAACCAAGTGTAATAAAAAGGTTAATTTTGATAGATTAGACACCATGGTCTCTTATGCAAAACTAATAAATTTATTATTAAATGAAATAAAAAGCATCAATATGTTTTTGCATCTTAATTATTGTCATCAAGTCATATTGGCATTTATCATATTAACAAATTGCATTATTCTTAACTTTTAATTCAGACACATCAGTGTAGTTTTGCATAAGAGACCATGGTGTCTAATCTATCAAAATTAATATTTATTATGTAGAACTTAATGCCCCTCTCTCTTAATACAATAGCACATGTCATTTCATTATATGAACTGAGGAAATGAGGCTTAATACCCCCTATATATATATATATATATATATATATATATATATATATATATATATATATATATATATATATATATATATATATATATATATATATATATATATATATATATTGATATATATTGATATATATTGATATATATTGATATATATATATATATATATATATATATATATATATATATATATATATATATATATATACATATATATATATATATATATATATATATATATATATATATATATATATATATATATATATATATATATATATATATATATATATATATATATATATATATATATATATATATATATATATATATATATATATATATATATATAGTGGGTATTAAGCCCCATTTAGAAAGTTGGTTAGAAACCCCAGAATGGTTATGAAAATTTTCCAATTTGGTTAGTTAGTCTTTATTATGTAGAACTTAATGCCCCTCTCATTATGGATTATACTTGCTTTTATATATATATATATATATATATATATATATATATATATATATATATATATATATATATATATATATATATATATATATATATATATATATATATATATATATAGGAGGTATTAAGCCTCATTTCCTCAGTTCATATAATGAAATGACATGTGCTATTGTATTAAGAGAGAGGGGCATTAAGTTCTACATAATAAATACTAATTAACCAAATTAGAAAATTTTCATAACGATTCTGGGGTTTCTAACCAACTTTCTAACGATTGATTTTTAATTAGAAGTTATTGATGAGTGGTTTTTTCATCCAGTTTCTAGTTAATTTTAAAATGATTTTAACAAAATAAAATGGCCGTTGAATGAATGTTCAAGAGATTGCTTATAAATAGCTCTAAAGTTTACTTTAATAATAAATTTCTATTTAAGATTTTAAATGGATAGTAATTCAAAGCGAAATATGGTTCTATTGAATATAAATTAGTTTAATTAGTTTACTAAAATAAATGTTTTAATTAGCAGGGGCTTAATACCCTCGGTTAATGCTAGCTGTTCAAAAAGATGATTAAGACAATTAAATAACATTGATCAGATAAATTAAGTTCATGTTTTAATTTTATTAAGATAAGATAAGTTATTTATTAAATTTTTATTTAAATATAGTTTTGATAATAGAGCTTATTGCCCCCTTTATTTAGCAGAATGATACAAAAGAATAAGAAACAAGGCAGGAAAATCTATGCAATTAGCCAATGACTGATGCCTACAATTCTGTCATATGTAAGCAGATGTCTGCTAACCAGGATTCCAAGGATTTCAAGATTAAAAGTACTTTCTATGACTAGTGCACACAATGCTTCTGCTTTAACATCACTACTAGGTGTACTGCTCTCAACATTATAGTTATCTGCAGCATCATCAACAGAATCATCACCTTTATTTTCAGCACCTGCAGAAAGACTGCAGATACCATTGTCTACTTCATTTTCAGAAAAGTCATTTAAAAAATATTTTTTTAATTAAGTATCATCACCTTTATTTTCAGCACCTGCAGAAAGACTGCAGATACCATTGTTTACTTCATTTTCAGAAAAGTCATTTAAAAAAGATTTTTTTAATTAAGAATCATCACCTTAATTTTCAGCACCTGCAGAAAGACTGCAGATACCATTGTCTACTTCATTTTCAGAAAAGTCGTTTAAAAAAGATTTTTTTAATTAAGAACTGTAGCCCAGATTTGTGCAAACTTCTGGAGATGTTAGATTGGTTAGAAAAAAATCAAGTTTCGATATGGAGAAAGTCTAACAAGTGATGAATGTTTAAAGTGATTGAGAGAAGAAGCAGTAAAGAAAGATAATGCTCCAAGAAAAAAGACCACAACAAAAAGAAGAAATCTTCCAGTTCAAGATTATAGAAAGATGATGACACTGCCTAAAGTATGGTGTTAACAGAGGTCAAAGAGAAGAATGGACGTGCTGTGACTAATGTGATGTTTGGTACCATGTTAAATTCCAGAAGTAGCTGATAGTAAAGTGATGGACTAGATCTGTGAGAAGTGTCTAAAAATGATGTAAAAATATGTTTTACATAGTGGAGCTTATTGCCCCCATTTTATAAAATTTGAGTCAGCGTTAGTTGTAACTTTTTAGCTTTTTTTTTCACAATATGACTTTATAAAACTTTTGAATATATATAAATATGTGTTGTCCAAATATTTCCAGTTTAAATTTAATATTTATTTACTTATTTCAAAGAGAGAAAAGAAAAGTTCTTGAAAACATGGGGCTTAATGCCCCCTGTTATCCTATATATCCTACTTTAAAAACCCTATAAATATGTTTATATCAACAACGGTCATAAAATTTTTCTGAAGATCCCCTAATTTTTTTAAGTCTTTCCTAATTTTTGAAAAGAACTTTTAAAGAGAGTATTCTATAAGCGGTTATTTCTCTATTCATCTGATTGAAGTAATTTGTATTTGCAACTCATTATTTTAATAAGATGATTTCAGTTATATAAAAAGATGACTGCATTTAGATAATTCAAAATGTGGTGGAAATTTACAAAAACTCGTTGGAACGTTTCACACTCCAAATTATCCTAAAATGTATCCAAACAAACTAAACTGCGTTTGGAATATTACAGTTCCTAATGGTTATCGATTACAATTAAATTTTACAGAATTTGAACTTGAATGGACTGATCACTGTTCATACGACTATGTTGAGGTTAAAGCAACTAATGGGACAATAGGAAAATATTGTGGAAAAAGAACAGAAAAACCTCTAGCTTATGTTACTGCACCCTCAAAAGAACCAATATACTCAGTAGATAATTCACTTGAAGTATTGTTATACACAGATTTCTCTAATGAGATTGAGGTTTTTGGATTTATAGCTCATTTTGCAGCATTGGATATAAATGAGTGTCTTTTAAATAATGGAGATTGCTCTCAACATTGCCACAACTATATTGGTGGATACTATTGCTCATGTAGAGTGGGTTATTTTCTTCATGATAATAATCATGACTGCATAGGTATAACCATTTTAATCAATATAAGTAAACTACATTTAAAAGATGCTAAGTTAACAAAAATGTTTAATGAAATTTTGTGTTTTGTTGTAAATGGACTTTTTGAATTATTTGATTTTTAATTCTTTTTGATGAGTTTTATTTGTTGTTTGTTGTTATAGTAACAAACTTAAAACATTTGTAGTGTTAAAATAGCATCCTTATAAGACTAATTTTTATATAAAGTACTTAGCACCTTTTAAAATACTTTTTATATATTTTATTTGTATCTTTATATATATATATATATATATATATATATATATATATATATATATATATATATATATATATATATATATATATATATATATATATTTATATATATATATATATATATTTTGTTTTTTTTTGTTTTGACAACTTGGCCATGGCTCCTTGCATGAATAAGTTTGTTTAAAAAATGCATTTAAATAAACAAATGCTAACTTAAACTAAAGTTAAAAACAAACAACTTATAAACTGGAAAGAAAAATAAGAACTAAAAAATAAAATAAAAAAAAACTCAACTAAAAAAATAAAAATCTTAGCAAATGATAAAATGAATAAAAGATAAATCAGAAAATATAAAAGCATAAAATTAATGTAAAATATAAAGACATAAAATTAAAATATAAATAAAAAATAAAAATTAATTTTAATTTAAAGTTCACTACAAAGAATTAAGAAAAAGTTTCAAAGTTATTTAATCAAAGCTTAACGACTTTGAAACTTAAATATTTAAAAATTTAAAACTTTTAACAAAGGAAAATAAAACATGAAAAAGTTATCTGTTAGTACTACTAACAAATAATCCTACTAACTTGACCATGCCCTCTCCCTTTACCCTTCTGCTAGTAGTGTTGATGTTGGTGACTTTAATGCTCATCTCACTGAATGGCTTGGCTCTAACACCACTGACCCTGCTGGCATTAAAACCTATAACTTCTGCATTTTTCAATCTCTTACTCTGATGGTTAACTCTGTGACTTGTTTTCCTGACAATTACTTTTACTCCACAATTTTTTCCTGACATTTACTTTTATTCCTCAATTAATGTCTTGTCTCTGACCTTAGCTTGTGTTCAGTTTTTTCCCTTTTCTCCTTTAGCTAGTTCTAGCTGTACAATTATCTCAATAAATCCTTTAACTCATACTTCTTTTTCTGACTCGCCCTATCCATCTGCCAGAATCTCCTAGATTCAGACGGGAATAGAAGTTTTTTTTTCCTTGTTGTGGGGAATTTTATGGGAATAATGCAATTTTAGAATTTAAATTATTTAAGTTTCAAAAAAATAAGAGGTTATAAGTACATTTTTAGGATACATCTATTGATACAAAACAAATTTAACTTTCTTTCTTGCTGTTTACATATAGCAATTATAACAATATCAATATTGTTATATACCAAATGACCAAATGAGTCACCGAAGTTCATATTTGAAGTAAGGTCTTCTGATATTTTCAGAAAACTTAAAGGACCAGAAAAGCCAAAAAAATAACAAAAGTATTATGACATAATCAAAATTTACAAAAAAAATATTGACAATGTTACATAATAATACACCAATTTTAATAAACACAATTTTAAGGATTATTTTATAGAGTATTTCTATCTTTTTAAATGTTATTTTTATTTCACAAGATAATACTTTTTTTTTCAGATTGAGTTCTAGATTTACTTTATCTCTAAAAAAGATTTTCTTTGTTGATACTTTTCAATTATGTTTTTATTCTTAGAGAAGTTAAATATTTATAAAAAGAATTGAGTCATTATTTTAATTTCTCCTAAAAAAACCTCTCGCAGATGCTTTGGAAACATTTTCCTCATTATAATTTTACATTTCATTGTATACCCAAAGATCATTTTGTAGAAAAGTAATGTTGTAAAGCAAAGCAAGATACAATAATGTCTATAATATTTTTTGGTTGTATTTGTAAAGGGATATTGCAAACAATTTCCAAAACAACATTCCATTGTCACACCTGTGCTGATGATATGGGGAGTTGTCCCCTATAATATGAATATGCTGATGAGCTTCTAAAACCTGTTTAATGGCTGAATTGGTAAAAACTTGTGACCCTTAGACACATCTAGTCCAATGAATACAAGCAGACAAAGTTTCTTTTGAAGTACCTTTAATTACATGGCAGTTCAAAGAAAAATCCTTTTCTGTTTTGATACAACTCTGCATTTTCTCCCTCAGAACTTGTTATAGGATATGCTCCATCTATTGTTCAAATATATCATGTAAATCTTTATATTATTAAAATCTAGAAAATTCAAAAATACTGTTTATACATAAATAAAACTTCAATTTCAAAAAAAGAGGCATTATCTGATATACAAGATGTTGTTAAAATATCTGATATACAAGATGTTGTTAAAGTTGACTAAAATTCTATATAACTTTTTACTACATATTTACAAGTTGATAATGATGATTGGTTTTTTTTATTTCAAGTTTGCTTTCAAGATTGGTTTTACTGAACTTCAAAAAACAACTTGAAATATGATTTTTTAAGAAAGAATTTATTTCAAGTTTGTTTCTTGCATTACACTTTAGTCAGACTTCAAATTTGAAGTATAACTTGAAATTTCAAATTTGCTTCTTGCATTCAGAAAAGATTTTTGCTTTTTCAAGTTGGCTTTCAAGTCTAACTTGAAAACGATATGCCTGAAAGCCAACAAAAATTACTATTTTCAAGTCTAACTTGAAAACGTCTGGTTCTCATTCAAATCACATTGTGAAAGTCCTATCTTAACTATCTTAACTAGTCCTAACTTTTTTATGTCTTGTGGTCCAGAAAATATTCCTGTCATAGTCTTACAAAATTCTTCTCCAGAACTCTCTTCAATTCTCTTTAATTTATTTAATTAGTGCTTGACTTGATTAACTGAGTCTTCTTAACTTAAGTCTTGTTTTTCTAGCTGCTGAAAAATGGCATCTACTGTTTCAATTTTCAAAAATTCCCGAGAACATTCTAACCCCTCTAATTAATGTTTGATCACTTCTGTACCAGATTGGGTCTTTTAGTGGCTTGTGAAATTCAACTCCAAAAAAACTCATTTATTTACTATAAACAAATATTGCAATACTGTTGTTATTCTTATATTAATGAATGGCAACCATCTCACTGAGTCCTATTCTTTATATCTTCTTGAATTATTGTTTACTACTGAACTTTAATGGAAACCATATACACAATTAACATCTGCTAAGGCTTCTCTTTATCATGATTGCTGTTTTTTTACGTTTGATTCCATTCTCTATCTTTAAAAATCTCTTATTCGTCTCTGTATGGAATACTGTTGTCATATTTAGGTGGGTTCTTCTAATGATGCTCTTTCTCTTCTAGACAAGGTCCATAGTATATATACATAGTTTTATGCTATTATTTTTTCTTATTTATCCTTTATTTATTTTATAATTCATTAAATTTGCTTTTCTTTTCAGTTTATGGTTTGTTTGTTTTTATTTTTCTCTTTAAATTAGTTTGGTTTTTTCAGTGCATCATTTAAAAACACACAAATTATCAATATATGCAAAAAATGTGGCTCAGTTGTCAACAAAAAAAATGTATGTGTTGTGATATGAGGCATCTCCTGAGCAGGCTTGATATATATATATATATATATATATATATATATATATATATATATATATATATATATATATATATATATATATATATGTATATAATATTATAAATAATATGAATGAGGTTTGTATTTGCAGTTTATTATTATAGTGTAATACTTTAGTATCATGTCAAAATGTCATCCAAAATAAAATGGAAGGTATAATAACAAGTCCAGAATATCCTTATCCATACCCACCATTTGCAAGATGTGAATACCACATAACTGCTGAGAAAGGATACTTTATAAATCTAAGGTTTTTGGATGTAAGTTTATTAATGTGTTTATATTATTAAATTTTTTTATTTATGAAAAAGCATAAAATTAAAATAATTTAAATTATTTGTAAACAATTTGTAGAATTAAAAGTATTGAATAATTTGTAAAATTATACAAATAATATAAAATGTATTTAATTTTAAAGTTTTTGACGATGGAGTACTATATCAGGTGGTGTAGATTTTTTTATATTTCAGATATGAGACTTTCAGTCATTGTAATAACTACAAACTTATATATAGTATGTTCATGCTTATGTCAAATAAGAATGCTTTGCTAAAAATAACATTGATTGGAGCAAAAAGTTCTAAATGAGACGGCTATGATAATAAAATATATTTTTTAGTTTATAAATACTAAATACAATATTTAAATATACTAAATATTTGTTTATGCTAAATATAAATGCATCCTCATTATGAGTTTTATATTTCTTTTAATAATCTTTTAACGTTCAAAGTTATAATTATGTTTTCACAGGTTTCCACAGGAAGACAAGGTTTTCACAGGTTTTTGTGAAAACCTGTACTTGGTCTTAATTTGTCACGTTATATTTAAATGATATTCAAAACTTTATTATGTAACTATAAATTAATTGTCACACTAACTGCTTTATATAAACTTTTGAATGATGCAACAGTTATATCCTAAGTTATACACATTATAAAGTCATATACAGGATCTCCTGAAAAATGCTATTGGTTTTTATGTTTTGGTAATGTTAATTAATGTAATGTAATGCTACTGATTGTTTAGGAGAAACCTGCTTTTATATTTTTAAAATTAATTTTTCGAACACAATTAAACAAAAGTAATTCTACGCACATTTTACATTGTGTATCTTTATTATTATTTCTGTTGCTTTTGTTTGTTGACGATCTCTACTCAAATAAGGAAGTTTTCAAAATAGATGTTTCCAATCAAATAGAGATTATATTCTCTATTTTGAAGAGTTTATTAACAGAAATGACAGCATAAAATTTTTTGCTTTGAAATTATTAAATAAAATATTTTTCTAGTTATATTTAAAATTTATTATTTTGGTTCAGATTAATGAGTCACTTGTAAATAGTTTCAAATTTACAACAAACTAAAAATAAAAGCTTAAAAAACCTTTTAAAAAATCTTTTATGTCAAGTATTACTTGACATTATTTTACTGTAAAATAATTATGTACATTAAAAATATATTCACTGAAAATTATTATGAAATGTATTTATGTAAAAAATGTTTTACAGCTAAAGTAGTTCAACATTCTAATTAGAGAATTAGTTAATAAACTATATGTTTATAGAAGCCTTCCTGCATTCTGCACCGAGTGGCAGACATTTTAGGGCGGCTAGTTTAGCCAACTACACATTTAGTACTTTTTCTCAATAGAAAAAAATCATAAGGCTTGCAAAGCAAATGCATAGTGCAGCCTAAACTGCAACAAATGAGGAAATCAAAAAGTTTTTACAAGAATACTTATAGTTATATTCTTAGCAAAACAAATTTTGGTCATTTGGTGTTTCAAGGTCATTTGGTGTTTTGAGGTCATCAAATTGAAAATGACAGGATTTTAATGGTTGTTATGGCAATGTGTTTAAACTTGCATTAAATTAATAAATCTAAATGCAGCATTTGTAGCATATTTAAATCATTCTTTAAACCTGGCATGTTCTATTACTATTGATTCCATAACATTTTTTGGAATGAAAAAAAAAACAACTATCAAGTAGTTTTTTTGTTTTACTTTCTGTCACTGGTTTCAAGAGCAGAAGCAGTAATTATAATTAAAGGGATCCCAAAGTGTCAAGACAAGTTGTGTTCATATCTCAAATAAAACTTTGAGAACAAGACTTACATCAGCACTTCAAAACTTGCATCGGCACTTCAAAACTTGCATCGGAACTTCAGGAATAAGTTTAGAGTTAATTTACTTACTAAAACAAATTATTAAATTTTTTTTTAGCTTTTAGCCATCTTATTTTTTTAGTTATTTTTAATTTTTGAATCTGTTTCTAAGTCTTAGGGTTCAATTTTATTTATATTTAATTAATTTTTTTATATTTAAATATATTTTTAGATATTTAAATATTTTAAGATATTTGAATATCTAAAAATATATTTAAGTATAAAAAATATCTGGTTTATTAGATGAATGGCGTTTTGAAATAATTTTTTTAAATTATTTAATTAATGCACAAGCTTAGGTTTTCAACAATAAATTAATTTGTATACTTTTGACCTAATCCCAAAAGTATTATTTTTGGTTTTTAGATTTTATTTGAGCGAATTCCATTTAACAACAGCCAGAACAGCAAGACAATTATTATTTTTTTTTTTTTTTGTCAAAGTTAAATGCTTTAATCAGACCAGGTTTCTTTTGAAAGAAAAATTAGCAAGTCAGAACTTTCGATTGGTAAAAACAATATGGCATTAAAAATAAAAAGGTTTTTTTGTTAATATTTCAATAAATAAACTCTTACTTCCGATCTTTTTTGGAAACCATATATCAAATCAATTGCAAAATTAGCAACTGCTAAGGTTGCATCTCTTTATCATGCTCACCACATCTTACTCTGGATTCTATACTTTATCTCTATAAATCTCAAATCAATTCTTGTATAGAATACTGTTGCCATATCTGGGGCTGCTCTTCCAATTATGCCCTTTCTCTTTTAAACAAGGTGCAAAAACGCATTGTAAAACATAGTTGGACCTGCTCTTGCAACCAACCTTTAACCATTATCACATACTATAAATAAATACTTTAATAGGCACTGCTCTAAAAAGCTAGCATCTCTTGTGCCATCTACTAAAATTCATTCTGGTGTTACTCATCATTCAATTAGGTCTCATCTTTTTACTGTGACTGTTCTAAGTGCTCTGAAAAGTCTTATCGTCTAGTTTTTTCTTTCAAACATCCTTTGTAAATCCCTTCCGTCATTTTTTTTCCTTATTTATATAATTTGCAATCTTTTTTATATATTTCAAAGTAAAATTGAAAATATGACATCTGAAGAAAATAGTTAAACAAGATTAAATGCTGGAAGTCAATTCAATGCATTGTTTTTAACTTGTAACATGTCAATTCAGTATTTTACTTTTCTATATTATCTCAATTTATACGAACTTGTCTTTTTTGAAATGGAAAAACAGTGGGGAATAAATTAATGGTATTAAAACTAATAGCAAATATTAAAAAAAATTATAATGTTGGGTACAGAATTTTCCTATTTATAATCCCCACTGTTTTCATTTTTAATTCCAAAAAGAATTAGTATGCAGTTTTTCAGGCTAGTTGTGAAAGGAGCTTTACCATATTGAGGTTGATAAAAAGTTCTTTGTTCCACAATAAATCATTCAGGACTACAAAATCTTTCAATATTTTCCATAGCACAAAAAAACAAAAAACAAACAAATGATATAAATTTTGAGAACATTGTACATAATTTTTCTACTAAGTTTGTGATATATATATATATATATATATATATATATATATATATATATATATATATATATATACACAAATAGTATTGCGTACTAAGGTAAGCAATCTGATGTCATACTGAAATAGCCTGCTGCTGGGGGCTTCAGTACATACATCAACTGACAAATACCCTGACTAGCAGTGGAGTCTTGCTACATCGACTGAGGGTTTGGGATGGGGCAGCAATCGTTTCATTCATCATTTTTCGTTTTTTTCATCTTTTTCTAAAAAAACAGTATGGGTTAAGGTAAGCAAAAAAAGTTATAAAAAAAAGTTGCTTATATTAAAAAAGTTGCTTATAAAAATACGCTTAAGTAAGTGTATATATATATATATATATATATATATATATATATATATATTATATATATATATATATATATATATATAAATACCCCTCGGAATTAGGGTTGGCCTTTCGGCAATGCTGACCTAACTGTCGATCTGAAAGTGTTTGAGGTTGGCAAAAAATTGCCAACCTCGTTTCTATGTTTTATGGTCAGACCTTTGTAGCAAATTATTTTTGCCAACATGATGCCGACCTGATAAAATTGTAAACAAACTTCCTATATATACAAAAAGATCTATTAAAAATTGTTGTAACAAATGTCAAGTATAACAAAAGAAACTAGTAAATCATATTAAATTATAAGAGTCATTTTAACATGGTTTACTTGTTTATTCATATCAGGTTTTTCCCATCCTATATGAATGCTTTCTTTAATTCTTAATTCAATTTTGTTCTTAGCACGATCCAAAATCAAAAAGCATTCATATATATTTCATTTTTTAAAACATTTTTTTTTTGAGTGAAGATGCTTATAAATAAGCCAGTTTTTATCCCTTTTGTAGTGTTAAATCCCTCGAATCTTTAGGTGGCGAGAGGTTTTGCCAAGATGACAGAATTTACATCCTGCACAAACAAATTTGTAGACAAAAAAATGATTTAAAATCTACAGGAACGTGGTCTTTAGATGAAAAAAAATTATTTATTAAAGCATTCATATAGGATGGGAAAAACCCAATATGAATAAACAAGTAAACCATGTTAAAAATATATATATTTAAAATATATAAATAAATATATATATATATATATATATATATATATATATATATATATATTTATTTATTTATTTATATATAATGGTAAATTTTTTTCTTTATTAGATATATGTTAGGTAGGTGGTACCTCTGTAAATCTTGTATTTTTATAAAAGTTGCATTTATCAACTTATGTATCCTACTTTATTATGGCCTAATTTAAATATGACATCCAAGATTAAAAATGTTTTCTGTCTACTGTTTGTTTTGATTACAATTATTTGTTTATATTTATTACATTAATTTGTAAAAACCACCATTTGATCAACTTTAAAAGGTCAGCAAATTGGTGGCGGCCTTGGGTTTCAAAAGGTCTAGCTATGCTTCTACAATTTTATAAATAAATAAAATTGAATTTTTATTTACCTGCTTAAATCAAAGCCTGTTTGATTTATCACAAACTAAATTTATATTTTTTAAGTATGATAAATTGTTTTTATTTTATTTCATTAAAAGTTCAAAATTGAAGATCACCATGAATCCTTATGTCCATATGATTATTTACTCATTGAAGATGAAAAAGAAAAGAAAGGACCTTACTGTGGAAAAACAAAACCAGATAACTTCATTTCATTCTCTAACTGGTTAATTGTGGAGTTTAGAAGTGATAAGTCACTTGCATTGACAGGTTTCAAAGCAGAGTTTAAGCTCCAAGGTGATTTTTTTTATAACTTTTCTTATACTCTAAGGTTGATACAATCCTAATGCTAAATTTTAATAAAGTTTTGCTTTATTTATTATTTATTTATACGCTTTTTGTTTTATCATCATTTTACTTTTAACAAAATTTTTATATTTTTATGGCTATTATTATTATATTTTTTAAAAAGTTTTTAACAATTAAAATTTTTATACATATGAAATAAGTATTTTCAATAAAAAGATGTGTATTTTCAATTATATCAAATAAATGTTACAGTTGATAAAAAAAGAGGTAGAAACATTGAAATAATGAAAAAAGGTCCTAAATTGTCCTAAAATATAATATGTCCTATAAAAAGATATTGGGCTATTGTCAAAGGAAACGAAGATTTGATGTACAAGTAGATAAAAACATCCAAGACTTCAACATTAAATAGATTAGAGCTACCAAGAAAGTCCAGTTGAAGACCCTTCAAAAGCTGATGTTAAGTGTAAAATGCAAAGTATGTGCCTTCTTATGTAACTGCAAATGCAAATGCAAAGTATGTGCCTTCTCACACAACTTCACAAACTTAAGTAAAATTTAAAAATAATTATCAATGTACTTTTAAAATATATATACCATTCAATACCGAAGTACAATAGTTATATATCCTTTAAAATATTCAAGCAGATTTTTTATGATACATGTCTTATAAGAAATAAAATTCCAAGAATTTTTTTATTTATATTAATCTAAAGTTTTATGTAAAGCTCATATTGAAAATAGGTTAACTTTTTACCATCTTTTAAAGCCATCTTTTGTTATTATTCTAAATAATAAGAACAATCGATATTTTAAAAGCAGTAAATGGATAAAAAGCTCAAGTGAATTTTAAAATGATTTTATTAACCCTGATTTAACCAAAGCAGAAACATAAAGCTATGTTTTAAAGAGATAAGTGTAAAAAGTTATTTTTGAATATTTAGAATTATAAATTAAAGAGATAAGTGAAAAAAATTATTTTTGAAAATTTAGAATTGTAAAATAGCAAAAGTTTTTAATCAAAACATCTTCTACCAGTAAACTCAGTCTAATCTTTAGATAACATCTCAGTTTAATCTATAGATTGAATTAAATTTGGTGGAGAAGCTATTTACTATAGAAATGAAATCACAACAAGCTATAATTATTCAAATAGATATTGATATTGACATTTTGAGAGTTTTAATTACCATAATTTTGGTATAATAATATGTTACTGTCCACCTGTTAACTCCTTATGACA